ATTTTAATTTATTAACTAATAAAAACTAACTATTCAATTAATTATTAATTAATAATTACAATTATTAACTATTTTTATTAATCAAAATAAATAAAATTAATATTTTTAAAAACAGAATTTTATAATTTTGGCCGCCTTGATATTCTAGCGGTGGTTATAACCCTACCCATTATTAATTGTACTTGTTCGGATGATCTCACTAGTAATGAAATATATATGTTGCTTTCACTTGATTAAACAATAAACAACTTTGACATACCAATACATTGGAGCTTAATATAAACTTAAAAATTTAGCAAATGATTATTTAACATTACACATCAAGCAGGTGAGGGAAGCATCTGGAACATTGACAATATGTAGCCAATCTTAAGCATAATGCTAGAATGAAAATTGTACAATATATGCTTGCTGATGCATGCACTGAAAGCGATAAATTAACTACTGCTTAAGTAGACATCTTGCCTCCATTCATTGGCTCTTCTGGAAACTAGTAACTCGTATTATAATCGGCATTTCTTTCAGTCAAATATTTGAATACAAAATGAGAAACACAAAGACATAATTGCAGACGTTTATCTTTTATTGAGGAAGTTTGAAGAAAATTACATGGTGAATAGAGAACAGAGACAAATGTAACAAGTATCAAATAGCAGCTGCTGAGACGTCTTGAAGAAGATCCCTAGCATATATTACTCCAGGCACCACAAAGTAGTTTCTGCTGATAATTGTGTCAATTCATTCTACATAAAGCTTGGAACTAAGACAAGGAATTAAGACAACTTCAAGTGGGGTTGCTTTCAGATTTGTGAAACCATTGCACTCAGTCATATCTACCTCTGCAAGGTTTGACGGCTTGGCAACTTCAAAACTGTGTAAGAAGCTAGCCAATGCAAAATGCACCATCTGAAGGGCAAGCGAGGTGCCAGGGCATGATCTTCTTCCCGAGCCAAAGGGGATCAGTTCAAAGTTCTTACCCCGGACATCAATGTCCTGGTGACTAGTCAGGAATCTCTCAGGTTGAAATTCATGAGGTTCAGTCCACGCACGCTCATCACGGTGAACTTTCCAGATATTTATCATCATGCGTGTGCCTGCAGAATGTGGTAGCCTGTTGATAGAATGCACTCTTCCATTGAAGCTTGGAAACCATTCGCTGGAGTAGCAGGGTACAACCACAATATTTCCTTGACAATTGCCTGTAGGAAGACTAAGTTCTTAACGTCAGATTCTTCCACATGTCTGTCCTTGCCAACATGAATGTCCAGCTCCTCTTGAACCTTCTTCAACACGTGGAGGTTATTAAGCGGTAGAGAAAGGGCCCACGTGAGAGTGACCATGGTTGTGTCACTTGCTCCTAAGATCAAGTTCTGTTCAAAACAAAGCTTATCAGCAAATTTATCAGGGATCAAGACAGATTAAACCTAAGATCTTTTTTCCTTCACAACCACTCCAGTGAGCAGTAGAGAAGCAGAACTTGTCATGATTGTTTCTGAAACATAATTATATCATAAAAAAATATATTAAAAAAGTGAAATAACTATATGGCTAGTTTTGGACATTAAGTGCTTACCAAGGAATTAGCCTTGTTGATGGTGTCGGTACTGAAACCTAAAATCTTAGCATCTTCCAGCATGTTCAGCATAACATCCATGAAATCCTGCTCTTCCTTCACTTTCCCACCCTGAATTCTCTTCAGTTTATTCTCCTCCAGCCACCCTCCAACAAGCTTGTCCAACTCCTTTGCAGTTCTCTTCATGGCCTTTACACATCCTTGAAAATCCAACCAGCAAAGAAATGGCATTGCATTAGACAAGACAAACGTCAATTAAATCTCTCATCAAAAGCAGGCCTCTCCACACTTCTCCTTCCTCACAATCAGCATTTTGAGGAAAGTATCTTTTGCCCACTACCATCATTAAAGCAATGTTCAAAGTTAAATCTCCAAACCACTGCTTCATACCTACCAGCACTCCACTTTCTGCAGCACCTTTGTTGAGCCTTGCCTTGTGCAGCTCTCCTATTGCAGTCTTTACTTCTGAAGTTTGTATGTGTTTGAGCATATCAATCCGTTGGTTTGACAGATGTTCAACCACAGCAATCTTGGGCATCTCTCTCCAGTAGGATCCATAAGGAGCAAACATCGCATAGTCATAGCCCAGAATCTTTGAAGCAGCAAGGATTGGTCTGGTGGAGAACACTTTATTCTAGGACAGTCAAACACTCTTAGCCATTTCCCAACTGTTTACAACCAAGGCAATTTGTGATGCCATCCTGATGATAAAAGTTGGTCCACATTTATCAGCCATGGCACGCAGCATTTTGTGCATCAGTTGGCCACCTCCAAAGAGATGCATGTGACCTTTATAAGTAGGGCACCACCAGCTTGAGGCACAATGCCGCTTTGTTTCCTACAAGTGCTTTGTATCTTTGACAGATAAATGTAAATGCAACTTAACGTTGCAACAAAGCTACTGACAACAATAAGCAGGAAATGAAAAACAAACTCCATAAGAGCTTCCAGGAGATGCTGGGTGTCAATGCTCCTTGGTGATTTCTTTGGTTTTCAATTACATTTATATACTGATCTTCACAGGACTGTCATTCCCTGGGAAGCTAAGAATATCTAACAGTAGGACCTTTATATCTTGCCGGCCAAAAAAAATATCATGACTTGACTATAAACAGAATGTATGCATGCTGCTGCTTCAATAGACATCAAGTCTCCATTCAACGTTTTTTCCATTCCAAGACATACTTCAACAAATTGACCTTATATAATTGACAAGTTATTCTTTCCTCTTTTGGGATTCTCTTCTATGTTTTTCCTTCACTCAAGGGCCACCTTCTTTCTTTCTCATTTTACTATTCTATGCTTGGCTCTCTAACCTCTATCCCATTTAATTTCTCCTTCATTTCTCTCCTTTCAATTGCATACTGCCCAAGCACTCGAAGATCCACCAGGTTAAAGCTAAGCCACGATGCAAACAAATCTCAAGAAGGAAGTTTTATGTTAATATAAATTAAGAGTCTATTTGGTCTAACAATAGTCTGCATAGAAGTTATGTTTGAATATATCTTTGTAGAAGGTGCTAAATCATAAATTCTTATAAAGTAATTACAAAAAAAGAGAAACACACAAGGATTATGGATATTATTATATGAAAAATCTAAAGAATATAAAGGTATACTCACTTGAAAGTTGAAAGCCTGAGGAGCAAAGGATTAGTTCCACTTTTGTAAATTAAACACATTATTGCATTGTGAATAAAAAACAGAGAAAATATTGTAGAAATAAATAAATGCAACAAGCATCCCACGCCAAAATTGATGAGTCTCTAAGTGAGATAGGGAAGGGAGCACAAACTTGAAGAAGAGTGGCATTGATTAGAGCAAAACACCCTTATGCAAGGTTTCTCCATTCACGGTATCAAGTTAAATATCCGGTATTGCAATATACCAAACCCCTCTTTAGTTTAGTAACATTAATAAATGATTTGTGATGTTTCCAATTTAACAATTTATACTCATTATCTGAGAAATATCATCTTTTGTTAGTAATTTAGAAATAGTTGGAATTTCATTAAAAAGACACGGACAATATAAAAATCTAAGCAGAACATAGCAAACAATTACAACTTTCATAACTCAAAGTGTCTCTTACCAACAAAAAGGAACATCCAGTGGATGAAAAACACCATTTACTTGGAAGATTTTCAGGAAATGTGCACTCGCAAAACAGCATCCTCTTTATTAATCAACTCAAACACACAAACTTGTCCAACTTTGACAGAATTCTCTCTTTTAAATGAACCCCAGCCATTACCCAGCCTGGCATTCTTGGACCGTGAATATCTTAATAACTTAACAGGCCATAATCTGTTGCCAACCTGAAGTGTCACATTGTTTGCATTCAGCTTAATATGTTCCTTCACGAAGGAATATGGCACATTCTGCAGAAACCACATTAACTAAGTAGCATCAATGTATTGATCTAACATAACATTTGCAAGAACTGTTGTTAGATTTGCAAGAACTGTTGGGAACCATTTCTAAGTTTCTACTTTTTCCTTTTATCTACCATATCTGTAGTGCACATATGTACAGATTTAGATGGTATATGTTTGGATTTTATCTCCTCTCTTTTTTTTTTTTAAATCTTTTCTTAGTTAGATTGTTAGGAGGATGAAGTGTCTAAAAATATAACATACTACTGATTTTGGTCTAACATTAAAAAAAACATACCACAAGATAGCGAGCATATGTTGGTTGAATGGTGATTGTAAAAGTGGGGTTTTTGGACTTGAACGAAGTGAATCTTTGAGGAGCACTAGCTGATTTAGTTGGTTCAGGTGCCCGTTTTCTAGTAGCAACACCAAGAATACAGCATTTTTTAGCAGTGTTAAACCTTTCTTTGCGACCACCTTTTGCTGCAAGACAAGGTTTAACCAAAAAACACTAAAAAATTTTAACACGAACTATAGAATGTACCAGTAAAGTCTTTCAATGAAATTGGTTTGCAAAAGACAACATCTTTCAACATGTCATATATAGAAAGGGAACATTAACTGTTTCAAACAAAACGCTTTAACCTGGAGATTGACCTATGTTAGCATCCTGAACAGCACGGAAGATTTCCACTTGAAATGTGATCTTGGTCTGGTTGATCAGCGCAAAGACACAAACATCACCAACTTCCAAATTATTTTCATGTACAAATTTCCTCCAACCACGGCAAAGTTTAGGCTTGATTTCTCCAGAGTACACAACAGACCAAGTCTTCCCATCAGAGACGGTAAGGACAGCATCTCCCCTGTGCTTTGGAAAATATTTCATGCAAAAGTTGACTGGTAATAACTGCACCAAGAAAAACAAAAGAGAGAAAAAAATGAGAAGATAAAAAGGAATAGTGTTTCAAACAAACAAAATAGGAAAATTTCTTGTACTTCTTATGATGTCTTAAAAGTGTGGATTTTTAATAAATGAAATTCATGATATGCTGACTTTGTAATTGAAAGCTTACCATTCTACATGTATCATAAACATATGATGGCTGCATGACAACCTTAAATGAAGGATTTTTGGATTTGAAGGAACAGGCTCGTAGAAGGGCTTTATTTCTCTCCTTGCCTCCTAATCTTCGCTTCCTTTTGCAAAATTCCATTTGTTGTGAGCATTTACCACTTCTTTTGGCTGAATCAACTCCAGTTTAAATCAACAAAAGACACAACAAAGTTTTAGAAAATGACTATAGCTTCTCGGTTTGGCCAAGAAAGAAGCAAAAATAAGAACGAGAATAAAAGAAACAATAACAAGTTCAGAAGAAGTCCATAGTACATACCATTAAATTCTGATTGTGAGATCTCATACTTGACCCTGCTGGAATTGATCTCAGGAGGTTTGATATTTGAAGTGGACCTCGTCATCTTACGAGGCCAGCTGCATGTTGATGGTGATTTCACTCTTGTTTTCTTGGATGGTGGAACTTCATACAAGAATTCGACTGAGTCATCATCATCATCATCATCATCTAGCATAAGATCTTGATGTCCACCACTACTGCTTGATGGTGATTTCCCTATTGTTTTCTTAGAAGGTGGAACTTCATCGGAGAGTTCAACTGAGTTATCATCATCATCATCATCATCATCTTCTTCTTCTTCTTCTTCTTCTTCCTCTTCATCATCTTCATCATCATCATAATCATCATCATTATCATCTTCATCATCATAATCATCATCTTCTTCTTCTGTCATAAGATCTTGATGTCCACCCTTGAGTGATGGTGATTTCTTGGATGGTGGAACTTCATCTAAGATTTCAACTGACTCGTCATCATCATCTTGAATGCCAGTACTATTGAGAACCTTACCATGAGTTCTACCATATGGATATGCTATCTCTGAAGCAGTTTTATCGAATATGATCACATGGAAATGGGAGTTTCCTTCATATCTAAAAACAAGAAAGGATCCATGACCAAGAGAACAATCCTTTGCAAATTCTGGCCAGCCATTACATAGCCATGTTTTATCAGCACAAGTTTTTAACTCCACTTTCCATAGTGCTCCACTTGGGACCTCAAGGAACACTGGACTTGAAATATCACTTCTATATCTTGTTGCAAACTTCTTTGGAATCATCTGCAAGACCCCTCCAATTAACACTGCATCTTACACTAACATTCAAAGGAATAACCCCTCAAAAACTAATAAAGAAATATTAAACAAGCCAGATCTTTAGTTTAACAGGCTTTCAGGCTTAAAACCACAAAGAGTGAGCATAAGCCAGGTTTTAGAGGTCAAAATCAACCATTAATCTCAGTTCATCACAAGAGAATTGTAAGATCTAAAGAGAGAGAATGTAGAATACTTACAAGCTTTTCACATCTGTCAGGTTCTTCGAGAATTATCTTGAAAAAATGGGGTGCATCTGAAGTAAATCTCATGCATCCTGGATCTTCAAAGCTTGGAGATTTCATGGCTGAAACAGCCACTTGATCTGTCAACCAGTTAGCTTTTGTTTCAGTTTATGCAATATGATAAGGCTTACCAACGTACACTCTGGAACCTGAATTCCCAATAAGGCAAATAAAAGTTACAGAAAATGTATGGCCTGAAAACAAAACGTAACTAAAAATCAGTATGATCTGGTTGGAAGGCCAATATGGTACTTTAGTATCAAGGGTGCCCAAGCAACTTAGGTGCCAGCTACAGGTAGCAGTGAATGATGAGATTTCGGATGAGTTTTTTCACAAAAATGTACCACATGCAAAGATGGAGGGGGAAAGGTCCAGAAAGCTAAAAGTGGCAACCTAGCGCCTTAATAGCACAGGGGCAGTGGGCATGGAGAATGCCTTTGTTAAAAAGTTGTAGTACTGAATTACTGATGGGTAATAACTTCTTTTAACCAAACCAAAAGAAAAAAAAAAAGAGTTGGGTTTAGCAATTGCCATTAGAAATGAGCAATGGGAATGGGAATGGGAATGGGAATGCGATGAGATGGCATGGGATTACAAGAGTGGGGGTGGGACTTGAACTCACACCAAGCGCCATCCACGTTTTGGAAACAAAGTGGCTTTTATGACTTGCTGTCTCACATGAATGACTCTTATCCTATATTTGGATTGAAAGAGTTTAGGAGGAAAGAGAGGAGAGTGAAAAATAATTTTTTTATTTGAATAAAGTTATTAAAAGAGATAGATGGAGGGAGAGACCCTTTTTTCAAATCCTTTATTTTTTAATCCCTTAGTTTAAAGGGATTCAAAGGATTTAATTTATTTTTAATTTATTTTT